GCTGCCTGGGGGAGCTTGGCCTTAGGGAGGGGAGCAGCCCTGTGCCCTGGGCTTCAGGGCAGGAGCAGGGTCCTGGGCGGGTTTGGCTCTTCTGGTGCTTTGAGAGACTTGTTGCAGATCTTGCCCCACAGCCTTTGGGGGATTTTAAAGGGCTGTCATTCTGTACAATTGTAGAAACCCAGTTTTGGTGCTCGAGACTATACAGAGTCACTCTTACTAGACTTTACTTTGGATCCTGCTTAGATTATAGTACAGGAATTTAGGACCAACTCCTGATTCCCTTGAAAAAAGTGTTTAAAAGGTGCAAGCATGATGACTTAGGAATTCTTCAGTGAGACAGAAGACTTATTGCTAGCAACAAATCGAGGATTCCCTTCTGATCTCTACTGCTTCTGTTTTTTAGATCTTGGTGGTGCAGCAGATAAGATTAATTTAATACCTCAAGACTTTTTTGCAGAACTAGTAAGTTGGGCAATAAGTGGGATATGGAAGGGCTTCTGGGCATCTTTGATTCTTGAAAACCTTTCTGTTGTTATGCTCTTGTCTGTTGAGAAGTGAATTGTATGGGTACAGTACCTTAGCTTTACATGACTCATGAAATGGACTAGTCCTGCTAACAGCTAATAGAAGTGGTTTAATTTTATATTTTATCACAGAAGTCTTAAAATATATATATATGCACACACATAAAACATATCTTACTTGTAAATGAAATACACTGGGAAAACACTCAGCTTCAGTTTACCTCAACAAATCTTTCTACCAAAAAAAGTAATGTGTGCTTGAACAGAATAGCTGTTCAGTTACTATGCAAGCAGTTTGCTAAGTAGTAAAAGCAAGTGACGTAGTAAAAAGCTAAAAGCTTGGGCTATGTTCATTTGCTTTTCTTGAATTTGATATAGTTTTAATGTTGTCCTGTTGTCCCTTTTTGTATTAACCAGTTTTCTTTCTTGTTGTGTCATCTCCAAGGAGTCAAACCCTGTGTTTCTAGCTTTGTTTCATCTTTTCAAATATGCATAAAGAATGTTTTCAAATTTATTTTCTTTACAGTGTGAGCAAGTAATTCAACATCTGAACCGTAGGATCCCTGGTGTAAATACAATAGAATTGTGTCAGGTAAATATGGATATTAGCACTTGTAAGTGAGTATAATAATATAGGCAACAATAAAAATATATACCATATTGATAATTGTTTGAACATCCTGTTTTTAGAGACTTCAAACATCTGGGATTGAGATTAATGTTGGTGACCTGGCAAAAATAGCTAGTACCTTTTCCTTTTTATTTAGGTAAGCACAATGTAATTCATTTTTCTTCACCTCTCTTCTTTTCCCCCCACTGTAGCTTAATAACAGTATTAAAAAGTGAATGTATAAAATAAACCAAATTTGGGAAAAATGCAAAAATTTTAACTCCCAGTATGCAACAGGACTTCTGTACTTAGTTTATATTCTTAATATAAAAACGAAAATGCAGAGTAACATAGTATTTAGACTTGGTTTTCATAATGAAAAAAGCTAAAGAGGAAGTTGTTCTCTTAGAACCTGTCTGCAAGCTTTAGAATTACTGACAAAAAAGAATGGAGCATTGCAAACCCACCACGTTGTCTATCTGAATTTCGCATGGTTCTATAAAGTAGATTTCCATTGTGATAAGGGCATAGTTTTTAGGCAGTATTTTCTACTTTTATTTTGTTGCAGGCTCTTCTATTTTCAAAAAGCAAAGTTTTTTTCAAAACTTTGCTTATTCTTTCAAAATGTAGTATTTAAACATTTTTATGTCTCATTAATCAAACTGTAGCAAATGTATCAGTAGAAATTTAACTTACTACTTTTTCCTTTGTAAAATATGAAACCTTAAATCATAGTTTACAGGTGATGCTTTTTGCTGCTTTTTTCTGTAGACTTGCTGCCTTTTCAGTTGTGTGTGTTACATCATTTGACTCCTGTTGGTACCAGTTACACAATTACTTAGAGGTCCTTGTTTGCCCCTTGGTGATGCTTAAATTAACTCTCTTTACTGTTAATTAAATTTTTCTGTTTCTAAAGTAGTAATATTACTTAATAATCTTAATTGCTCTCTTTATACATCCTTTGCTGAATTATACCCCTTTTGCAGTTACGACAGCACTTGGAGGCTGAGATTGTTTCTGCTTTAATGTTGCAAGTTGTGCAAGCTCAGCAAAACTTGGTCTGTTTGTTGTTTTCTCATCTTAAGATGCATTAAAAAGTTATATGTTGTTTTCTGCATGTGGATACCAAAGTCATATTTCCAGAGGCGTGAAATATTTTGCAACAGGAAGTCAGAGGCTGCATGTAAAACACATAGGAGCATAAAGCAGAAATAGAGACTTCTACATATTTGGGGTGAAGCGAGAAACCTTATTAAATTCTTGGAAAATGAAATTAATTTGTTGTTCTTTTGGATCACACCTATAGCACAGCAGCCAGAAGCAATCTCTCTACAGAAGAACTCGTCACCGCTCTGGGCAATGCTGTCAGAACGCTGCCGAAACATGCAATTCAAGTTGTTCGTCATGTATGGAATGAGCAGGGCAAATCTTTTAGTGTGTCAGAAGATGAAAGAAATATGGCCACAGTGGGGCAGGTAACTAAACAACAAAATGCAATTGAACTGTTAGCACTAACGTTTCTGAAAAGTATGTTATATTGTCAGGCACGTGATGGTATCTTGACTGCCCAAGGCTTACCCTTCATAGAGATTGCCAGCGTCTAGCCAGATGAAGCGTATCCAGTAAAGGTCTTCTGAATCCAAAAACGGTCCTGAAAGCTTGTAATATCTTTGCTGGGATAACAAATACACGTTTCCTACTTTTTTCTTTTTAATTAAGTGCTACATAGTACAATTGGGGAAAACGAGTGGCAGTCAGTATGGTAGACAGCTGTATTAGCTGTTACATATATGTTTTTCTAAATGTGACCTGAACTGTTCTTTACAGTTGATAGCACTAGCACTTGAATGTGGTGTTCTTTGTTTTAAAACAACCAAGGGAGACAAACTTTTTTAAAGGTAGCTTCAGTCAGTCTCTAGGATTCCATTCCTGATGGGTTTTTGTTTGTCCTTTTTTTTTTTTTTTTGCAAAACACGATACAAAGTGTACCTGCATTTCAAACTCTTTTTTTCTAGCACCAGTTAGCGCCAAACTAAAAAAAAATCTTTGATCTCAGTAGTGAATAGTATTCTATATGTTCTTTTCAGTGCCTTATTTAGCAGCTCTACTTATTATCCTTTTTAACCTTTTATGTTTATAACTTACCCATCTAAAATGTTTGACCTACCTTGATTTATCTGAAATATAGTTATGATATACCTTGATTTTTCTCTCTTTCTGTTGTAAACTTCTTGTGAGCCGTGCATTTGAATCGGAATTCAACTCTAAGCAGATTTAAGTGAAATAAAAGTTATAAATAAGGAAGAAAACAAGTTAATAAGGAAGAGCAGATTACTTTCGTTTGTTGCCAGAATTTTCACAATAGTATGTGAATATTTGTTTGTTTCCCATTTGGATATGGGCTGTAGATGTTGTCTATAACCTGCAAAACATCTGCACAAGAGAACAGTAAAAATAGGTTAGATTTCTTCCTTAAACACTGTTTCCAATGATTGTTTCCTTTTCTGTAGTTTATAGATATCAGTTGGAAACTGGGAGTTGCAATGAGCTCTGACACCTGCAGGTCTCTCAAGTATCCTTATGTTACAGTGACACTAAAAGTGGCAGACCCTTCAGGACAAATAACAAACAAATCTTTTGAAATGACGGTTCCACAATTCAAGGTCTGTAACCCAGTGTTATTTGATTCAGTCTCTTAAGAATAACTGTGGTGTGGTTTAAAGAAGCATATATGTACCTTGATGCCTACATTTGTGATGCGTAATTACTAATATGATATTTGAAAGATGAAGTATTAAAGATGAAGTATTAAATTTCAGTTTAAAACACTGAAAACAGATACCTATTTCATAGCATATAGTTCTACGTTGCTTTTCCGAACAGGTTTAGTTACTGGTAAATTAACCTTTTCTCTTCCAAATAAACTTAGAACTGCAGATATGAAGACTTTCTGATCCATCTTGTCAGCTGTCCATCTGCCTCATCAAAAACTTCTGGAGATATTCTAAATCTATGGAACTGTTTCCTAGCCTCAAAATCTAAAACTTAGGTTCAGCCTGGAATTTGCTAATAGTTAAGAATGGTGGTCAGTCTGCTTTGGTTGTTGGCTCTTAATTGTTGTGCTTTCAGCTATAAACTTTGGTAACTTTGTTTAATTTCACATAAATGTGGGAATTCTGTCATTCTCTGTTTAGAAGGCCAGTACGTCAGTTAGAATGCTTATCTTACAAGCTTAGAGGTAAATCTGTGCAGTTAGGCAGGAAGGAATTTTTGAGCAGGATATTCTGAATCCTTGGCTGTTCTGAAGTCTCACACCCAGTCTTTCTGGGTGAAGTTTATTAAATGATTTGCTGATCAACTATTATAAGAAAGGGTTGCTGTATAGGAGGTCTGGATTATTTCAGGTGGGAGTAGAAACACTTGTCTAAGACTTGCTTTTTTGTAGTGTGACAACTGCTACGTTTTTTTTATGGCATCTTTTCCTATTACTAGTCAAACCAATGCAAATAAGGCATCATCTGTGGTAGGTTTAATAGTGAGTGTGCCCAAATGCTATTGAGGCCACAAAAGGAAATGCAAAATCTCTTTCACTTCAACCTGCAAATTCTAACCAGAGGATAGAGGGAATGTGAGAAACCTGGATTAAGTGAACTTCTTGTATAGCCTTCTGGTTTGGACTACAGTTCAGGCCATTTTTTGTGCAACTGGAACTTATCTTAACTCTTATTTTTCAGAACTTCTTCAGACAGTTCAAGGAAATGGCAGCTGTCCTTGAAACAGTTTGAACGGAACTTTTTACAGTGAAGTTTCTAACAGACTTAGATCGAGTAAACTTTCTGTTCTACACAGGGAGTAGAGTGCTGTTTTTCAAACAAGGTATGTATACTCATGTTCCTGAAGAATATTTGCCAGCATCCTCCTTGAATCACTCCGAAGACTTCTTCGCTTTTGAATACTTGAGATCAACTCTGCAGTGTCTGTAAAATGTGTTCAGCTTTGTTCATCCTGGTATACGAACGATCAGGATGTGTAAGGAGATGTGTTACTGTAGACTTTCTGCTATCCAAGATGAAGAAACTATGCATTTAACTCTGCAGTGCAGAAGGATATGTGGAAACATTAATTTGACTGATATTAAGAGAAGTGTAAATCCCGTATTAACTATTTTGTCTGTAAAATTGAGATGTGCATAGAAACAACACTATTATCTATGCGGAGTACGTATAATTACACATAGCAAGCATACAGTTAGTCTGGAAGAAAAGCAGTGACAGGTAGTTAGTTGCAGGTATTTGCAGACCAGGCTTTCAGTTTCTTTTTAATTACTGGAGAATGTACTTGTCTTAACAGTTTATTTCAATACTTATTTCCCACTGCCTGGGCTTATGAATACTGAGTTAGTGCAGTACACTTCTCTGGAGACCTAAAACTTACTCCCTGAAATGAAGCCCAGAGGCTAACTTTAAATTTAGGAAGAGAGGTTAACTTAATTCAGAAGCATTTTAATATATTTTTTGCCTTTGCATTTAATTCAGCTCTAATTTGTGGCAGTCTGCTTGATGTTTTGATCAGCACTTTGGTTTCTATATTAAATTAGACTATTGATGTAGTTGCCTCACTGCATCCTCTGAACTAGAAAAGTCAAGAGCAAACTTGAGAATTCAAAGCTGGTGCATTAGCCAAACACATCAGAGAAATGACTGTACTAGAAGTCAGCAAGGTGGGTGTTGTTTTGTTTTTCCTGCTTATATTTTGTGGCGGGAGTCCATAGGGCTGTGGTGCTCTGTCAGAAAATGTCCTGAGGAGTAAAATTTGACTCTGAGAATGGGGGCATTTTCAGAGCAGGAGTGATAAATTCAGTGTGCTTATGTATTCTCTCTTTTTTCCTTCTTGTTTCTAGAGTTTTACAAAACTCTAGACTAGAGTAAACAAAACACAAACTACAAATACAGTTGGATGTAATAAAAACAATAGTGTTGCATTTCAAGATAGGCTGGTGGTCTAATTAAACAAGTAAGTCTGAAGATAGACAAATCATACTAATAAGCAGGCTGAATTTTATGCTGCAGCTTTGGAAGGCTGGAGATTGAGAACTAGTTTTGTTGGGACAGATCCCTAGGTGATTTCAAGCCCGTAAGTGAGAACATCCAGCTTTTTAGCCCACAAAAAGCCTTTTTAACTTTTTTACTTTTTTTTAGAAGCTGGCTGAAAGACGCTGCTACAGGTCTTGCCTGCCTTTTTCTCATGAAAATAAACTGCACCATGTTTTCTGTATTAGGTGTACTTTGAAGAGAGATACACCCCCCCACACACACTATTATTTTGAGCGTTATTAATGATATGTTGGCTTTAACCAGTGACACTAACAGTCTTGTGCTGTGGCTGTTAATCTGGATGATACTTCCTGTGTGCAGATGAAGTCACAGATGTTTGCTTCAGGGCAGGGGAGAGCAGAACCCTATTTTCTGGGACCTCTCAATGGAATGTCACAAAACGGCCTCAGGAGAAGACTTCCTGTTTGCCTTTTCCCATGTCTGTCTTCATGGCCTTGGGGCTGAGCGTATTGCAAAAATCTTCCTCTCTAAGTGTGTGGAGAAGTGTTGTGAGCAGTTAGTAATTTTTTTTTTAATGTAATCTGTAGAAGTTGGAATGTAAGGCATCTGTAACTGGAAAACATTGTCATGCTTTGGCCTAGTGAATTAACTGGTTTAGATCAAGGTGGGGGAGGTGTGTGTGTGTTTTTTCTCTTTAGAATGAGAGTGAAGTTGGAGTCTGACAATGCACTTAAGTTCTCCATAGTGCTGGAAATACTTGTGCCTTCGTTGGAACTGGATGAAGTCCAGTCTTAACTTTAAGTACCTTTCCAGTCTACTCAATTACTGGTTATGAGAAAACTTCAGTTACCATTTTTACTTGGTCTGTCACCAAGAGGAGAAAGTTGGCAACATCTGAAAAGTGTAACTGTTACATTTTGTCAAGTTAAATATGCCAGAAATACTAACGAATATTTCTGAAATGTCCCTGCGTTCCTGAATGCGTGTTGTAACTGGCTGGAAGATGCCCGGAGGTGTGTGCTGTACCAGCACAACTGACTGAGAATTCTCAGAGGTGTTTAATCCAAGAGATGTGACTAGAAGTTGGCTATGAACTCAAACTAATGGGATTTATCTTGATCACTATCAATAGGTATTCATATACTAAACAACGGAAGAATTAAGCACTATTTAAAAAAGTAAAAACCTAACAGTCTGCAGGATGGCAATATTAACTTGTTCAAACAAGCTGTTGAGACGTGCTTGTCTATTTGCGCCAGATCTTTTTAAAGTGAATCAGGAGTCCTTATGTATTCCTGGTTCTACCTGTTGGTTGATACAGAATTGTGTAACACGAATATTTTTGTAAGTCCGCAAACGATCATTAAACATATAGGTGACAAAGGTAAAGATGGTCTGTATTTTATTTTAAGTCTACTGAATAAAACTGTCTCATAAACACTACAGTGGGTAAAGTTCAGAGCTAGGTTATGATAAAACTTTTTTTATTAAATTAGGATGGAGTTCAGACAAACACAATCTTCCTCTGTGGTGGGGTACCAAAGAGCTGAGGGATAACTGCAGTGATCAGTTACAGCCAGACAAAATAGTGTATTTAACCTGGAAAGCGATATGCGATAAATGAAAATTTTCAAGAAATAGCATGCAAGTGGTTTTCTTTTCCTAACTGTATATAGAGCACAAACAGTTTTTCTTTTCAGCAGTTGCTTGGAGCAGGGCAAGAGAAGGGAAGAGGGAAGAAATGGTCTCATACAGTAAACAAAGCCAAGGGATGGAGGAAGGAATTTGTTGGCTGGCAACAGCTAGCTTTCTCCTTCATCACCTGACCATTTTCTTGCATTAGTTCAAAACACACCAGTTCATTTACAGAATGCCTTTTATTTTCTAGAAAATGGAGAAAAGTTCAGAGGGCAGAAATGGCTGTAGTCTCTTCTGCATATTAGTGTTTTATACTGCCCACTCGCTTTGGCCTAGTCACTGCCAAAGCAGAAAGCAT